TTTAATGCAGAACCGAAGCCAAAAGAGAAGTCCTGTTCTTATTATGCACGGGACCATGGAGGAAATACAAGGTGATCATCTTCTCGCAGGTACGTGCAATGTGCGTCCAGATTGCATAGCACAGCAAACTTGAAGTGTCTTCATTGAGCGGTGACTTCAAGAATGCCCACCGCTCCCACGCTCAAATACAAAAAGACAAAGGTTCCCCTGTGACTCCAAGGGTTTCACACACACACGACGGACCACGACCCCCTCCTTTTCCAGAGCCATGACCTGAGGCTCCCGCCAATGCCTCCCAGCCCGACCAGCGCCTGCAGAGTGACCCCAGCCGAGAAGGACGGCGCTCCCGGTGATCACTTGGTGAGGCGAATGAGCGGGAAACCAAATGGGGACCATGAGGAAGCAGGGTCGAGCGGGTAGAAGTCTCCACCTTGCTTCTTCGACAATGTCTGCTCATTGGTTCTGCCGCAAGTGTCATGTCTTCCGGGCTGCTTCCTCTTTGGATTTCTCAATCGGTTGGCTGTCAAGGGGAAACGTATACAGGGCCAGCAAAAGCCAAGAATAACTCCCAACAAAAACTGCTTGGTGGTTTCAACATTGAAACATATTTGTCAGAGGAGAAGTCCAAGAGCAACTCTTCAGTCCACACTTGGAATCGGGACTCACGCAGGCTACTTTTAGTCAAGCTGCGCCAAGGGCGCTGGAGTGTATCACTGAAAACCTCAAGCCAAGACACTTCAATGGAACAAAACAACGTATTTTGTTGGGATCCAACAAAATAGGACCATGACGATTTTGACCCAACGATCCCAATCTTAAATCTTAGGGGATCCAGGTACCATTATAGCTGGTAACCATTGGTTCCAAAGACTACTCTGGTTCCTTCAAAAACGTGACTCTGCTTTCACTGAAAAATAAACGCCAAACGCCTTGATTTCCTCGTTTCAAAGCCAACTCCTCAGATCAATCGCCCCTCTCTCATCGCCGCCGCCGCCTCAGGAGGGGCACCTCAGGTCGCGAGGTCGCGAAGCTTGGAAGCCCATGGGCTGTCCAGGAAATGACACACATATTCCTCACCCATGCCAGATGATGCACCCATAGCCTATTGGGAAAATGCACAAATCACTTGAGCTCAGTGAAGCAATTGTAGAAACGTGGAATCATTGTCCCAACCTATCTCTACCAATTTGTCTGAAGAGAGGCACAAGCTACGATGACATCTCTCGTTAACGAGCTTGGCGCTGATGGTTGGTGTTCCTAAGGCGCATCAAAAGTGAAGTAGGAAAGAGCCTAAGCAATATTAGCAAATAATATTAACCATGAAAGTAGAACAGTTTGGGCCCTGGAAACCAACTATATAAGGGGGTTCTGGTCAGCTTCCATGTTTGTTGGAGGGAGTATAAACATCATACAATATCCATCAGTGTGTCGGTGGAAACCTTGAGTTCTTCTTCAGCTTCCTCTCGGATGCAAACTGTCCAGGAACCGGGAAAAGCCAACCATCTTCCCCAAATGGGATCCACCCATAGGGAAAAATAGACATGACCATAAGCAAACACCTAGGATCACTTTAAGTTTCCTCTCTGCTTGCGACGGTTGGATGGCCCGACTGCCCAGCTGCATCAGAAGCCCATAGCAGGCCCATGGAAGCAGGGCGATGCTAGCAGCCGTGCACCTTCTTCCAACGTGTTACACTATGCATCACTTGAACATCCCATCAACTCCTTGGAATTCCCAATGCCCAAGAAACAACTATATGGGTATGTACATCCAACAGGTCCATTGACTTTTCATACAAATTTGCAACTCACGATTGGTTCCATCTGGGAATTCCAAGTCTTTGTCTTTCCCTAAGGATCCAGTCGCACCTTCTCAGAAGGCACTTGGTCCCCTTCAAGCCTACATAACCGTGTCTCCAATCACCGTACCTGAGAAAGTACGACTGGATCAGGTACTTGGATCCCTATAGGGCCTAGGCCCTAGGGTTTCAATCACCATTCAACGACCTTTCAGTCCCCAACCCTCCCTCGCACATGCGCCCGCTGCGCAACCCCAACCGTGGCTCCACAGCGGCATCGAACAGCCGCCATGCGCCTGACGTGTGCGGGTTGCGTTCTAACGGTGTGTGGGGTTGGCGTTCGGATTCGTTTGGATTTGCTTCAGGAACCACATCAAAGAACCATACCAGCACCTTCCAGCAGGTCTCCTTTGGAGGGCTGTTAGGCCCCAACAGGTTTCAATTGGTGACCCGTTGGAGGTGCTGGTACTTGGACTTGAAGTCGACCAGTTCGTTCGAACCTCCAAAAAGAGGTGACATTTGTACACATGTGTTGGTTTCGGGTACCAGTTTCCAAGGTGCTTGCCACGTTGTTGTCCAGGTAGGAACCACGAAACAAACGCTGCCGGTGCTTGTTCCATTTCTTCAGGCGTGCTGAAGCGCGGAGGACTGCTTCATCGGAGGGAATCCAGAGCCAGAACAAAACAAGCCCGGTTCCAACTACCTCCGTTTCGGTTCGATGGTTGGGGTGGGTGGTCTTGGGGGGGTCAGTCCCCACCTGAGGATATAGGCCAGGAGCCCTGACGTTTCAGTCAGAAAACCCTTTTGGAGAAGCCAACTGACTGGGCCGCCCGTGGTTTCCCGTTGCTTCCGTGATTTCCCGTTCGTCGAGTCGAATCGGTGGACCCCACACTCATCATCAGCACCGAGAGCTTCGAAGACGAAGCTCTCGGATGACCAACATCCATGAACATCCGAAGACCAAACAGGCAGGTGTTTTTCCCCTATTTATAGGCCTCCGAACGGCCCATCAGAAGGGGACTGACCCCCCGTGGCGACCACCCACCAACCCCAAGCATCGAAGCCGAAACGGAGGGGGCGGCCAGGAGCCCTAAAAGAATCATCCGTCCCTAAGGATCCAGTCGTACCCTTCGTTTCGTTTCGGTGGGACTGGGGGCCCGGGCGCCATGTTCGGGTCCAGTCGTACCGAACTTGAGTTCGGTACGACTGGATCCCTAGACCTTAACTTCCAAGAGAGGTTGAACAGCCCTATAGCCCATCCCATATGTACCACTACAGGGTCCTATATGGTCTCTCAACCTCTCTTGGTTTCAGGCTGCTCCAACTCTCAGAATCCGCATGTGGGCCCTCCACCGGACACTCCAGGGTCGGTCACCCAGCCCGGATTCTGAGGGAACGCTGAGTAGTTGCTCAAAGCACCAAGAATCAATTCATCTGAACAGGCTCAGAATGGCGTTTTCATCATCCACATGCTTTTTCAGATCCACGTGGGTGGAGGTGAACTAAATCAAACGAAACAACACTGAGTTGTATTATGCCCAGTTGGATCGCTCCATCCTCATCTGTTTCGTCCGTCCCTCCACCGCGAGTTGAATGACCGGCTTCATGGGACGAAGAACGGCGGGGGCGGGGTCCAAGCGGGTTGGGGAGCTATATGATCATTGGGGTGTCCGGTCTGGACCAAGAACAAGTGTAGGAAGCAGAAATGATCCCTATGGATCCACCATGATCCACATACCTTCTATAAGGTGATTGGACACTATTGATGTAGGCGAGCTTGGAGGGTCCAATTACCGAACCAGGTCGGTTCGGTGGCAGTGGATCCGGGAAAAGAAAGAACAGAACGTACGACTCCCATTGGATGGTCCCATTCTGGTTCCTTCGCATCACGAGATGGCGTTCGTACGGGCGTGGGTATTTCCGGGCTGCGAGGAGTTCCCCTACGCCACAGTGACTTTAAGGCCCTATGGATCCACCGAACCGACCTGGTTCGGTGATTGGACCCTCCAAGATCGCCTACATCAACAGTGTCCAATCACCTTCTTATAGAAGGTATGTGGATCCATAGGGAGGGCTTTTCATGGCTTTTGTACATTGCAGTCTCAGTTCGTACCTCAAACGTTCAAAGGTACTTGGTGGGGTCCATTTCTACTTCTCCGTGGGGCACTGCGCTCCCACCATCATGCCAGCTGCCCTTCTCCCTGCAGAGTTGGGTGCCACACGACGCGAAGGATCCACGAAGAAGGCCCCGCTTACTAAGCGTCAGGCCCCCAGATCGGATTACGCTGTAAGCCGTTGCAGCAAAAAGGCGGCAAAGGGAGGCGTCTTGTTTGATCCTCCTTGATCAGTTCTCTTGGAGAGAAGAACCACGTGGGGAACCACGTCCAACTTGCCTGTGTTCCTTTCAGAAGGTCCCGAACAGCCATTACATATACTCTTATTACATACACTTGGGAAAGGTCCTTATTATATGTCCATTTCCCCCAACATAAATATATGATGGGTGCTTTAGTTTGTGTGGAGCAGAACCTACAAAGAAAGGCTCGAGGGTTCTACGATTGCTACCATTGTGCTACCATTGCCATGGTTACTATTGTGTGGTACATTCGTTCATGAAACATCACAGGAGAGGAACCAATGGACAGACTTTCTACTGTGCCGGGCCCAAATCAGGATCTAGGATGCATGCATTTCCCCTTGCCAAGCAAAACAACATGATTGCAGTAGAAGCTCTTTCACAATTACAGCAACATATCAACCCTACCAAGATCCTTTCAAGCAACTTTGGATATGGGACATGCCTTTAAACCCAAAAAAAACTACTGAGGTACATTGAGACTCAAGGTAGATTAAATTTGACCAAAGAACCAATGTTCACCTTTGAGTCATTGACCAGCTTGATGGAGTCCTCCATGTAAGGATAGATTGAACAATGATTGAAAGATTGAACAATGTTTGAAAAACATTACACTGCCTGAAATCCTCATATAGAAGTGGAGTTCACCACCTATTTGGTCTTCGGATTTCATGGTCATTCAAAATCGGGGCCGTTTTCCATCCACGGTTCCCGTGATGATTCCAGGGAGCGTATGTCGTCGGTCAGGACTTAGTTTTCCCCTCAAGAGATGGCTTTGTCTTGCCAGAACTTTGGACCATGTGTTTTTTCCTCCACCCAACAGTTCCCGTCCAAAGCTCTTTTTCACGCTCGGCTCCACGCAGAACTTCTGAGACCGCCCTCGAAGTCAACGCGCCGCTCGACTTCACCCGCTTCACCGCTCGACTCGCGCGTCGAGCGCGGTCATGGCGCCGGAGCTCGCTCAATGTGGAGGTTCTCGATCGGGTCGGTCAGGTCGACCCCTGGTGTGGTCGCAGTTGGCGGTCGAAGTGAAAAGAATCAGTGACTCAGTGACCAGTCGCAGTCGGGCTTCAATCCCGGTCAATGACCTTGTTTGACTGGACATGGCAATAAAAAAATATCATGACATCAAAGTCAAAGAGTTACGAAAATGATACTCCCAACCCCCCCCCGGCGGTTTTTGAGGGGTCCAAACTGTTTCTGAGCACAAACAGTCTTCCACATACTCCATTATAGTTAAACAACATGTCTATATGCTGACTAACTTACAAGTTCCATAACTATAGTTTCTCTTCCAGATCTCTTCTCCAATGCCCTGAACGCCCGCCTCGTCCCGCCACTTCGCCCTTTGCTTCGTGGCCGGGGTCATGCAGCATCACAGAGCTTGGCCAAGGCAGCTTCCTGTCGGTGTCGCCATCTGCCCTTCATCCAAACATCACATGGGTGGGAGTGGAGTGAGTTCACAGGAAAGTCGGTTTCCAAGGGACCATGCCATGCACGTAACCATGTGTCGTAAGTCACAGGGTAGTCACGGACAAAATCTCTGGAAAACAAACCGTTTGTGTAAAAATGATTGGGCAACTTTTCAGCATTCATGGTGATCAAAACAACTTTCCAAAGTGCGCTCCCAGTGGTAGCTTGAGAGTGAGAGCGAGTGTGAGTGAGAGCGAGTGTGAGTGAGAGTGAGTGTGGATGAGAGTGAGTGTGAGTGTGAGTGTGAGTGTGAGTGTGAGTGTGAGTGAGTGAGTGAGTGAGTGAGTGAGTGAGTGGAGTGAGTGAGTGAGTGAGTGAGTGAGTGAGTGGAGTGAGTGAGTGAGTGAGTGAGTGAGTGAGTGTGATTGCGAGTGGGAGTGAGTGTGAGTGTGAACGTGAGTGTGAGTGAAGAGTGAGTGTCAGTGTGAGCGTGTGTGAATGAATGAGCGTGAGGGTGAGAGTGAGCACGCTTGCCACGAAATCTGCACTTCGAGGTTCACAAAGTACTGCGCCTGCCACGAAATATGCACTTCGAGGTTCACCAAGTACTGCGCCTGCCACGAAATCTGCATTCGAGGTTCACCAAGTGCTGCGCATGCCACGAACTCTGCACTTCGAGGTTCACCACCCTTTAGATCAGCTGAGGTTAAAAATAACCTGTGAGGTTATTTTGTTTCCTGAGGTTAATTCTAACCTCACTGAGGTTGTTATGAAGAATAACCTCTGAGGTTATTCCTTCAAATAACCCCACAGTTTCTGCTGTTGTTCTCAAAAATAACATCAGAACGGTTTACCACATGGGCTGTCAAGACACTTCTTCTTTCACACCGACTCTTTGATGTGGATTTGTAAAACATATGTGGCGCATGAGTTTGTGTGAAATGTATTTGTAAATGTATTTCAAGATTTTGGTCAGAACATGAAAACCTGAGGGTTTCTCTTGAACGCTTGCAGAGGAGTGTGCTTTTTCATGCCACTTGACAATGCATGTATATGTGCTGCAGCTGTTAAAAGAAAGCACAAGAGCAAAGCAGCAAACTCCAAGACACAGCAGTGAAACAATATAGGAAAGATTGGGAAACCAATAAGCTTCAAGGCTAGGACACCCATGGATAGCATTGGCAGGGCATACAACAATGTGTACATTTCCAACCGCATCTTCAAAATCAATAACAAAATCAACTACAGAACCAATAAAGATTCATGTCTTTTTCATGTAACTGTAAACTCTTCAAGATATTTGAAGTGAAACTTATCTTCGTCTTTTGCCAAGGTGTTTCCAGTTCAATCTGTTGTCAAAGTGTTCCCACCCGCAATCAAGTACAAGACTGAATAACATGTTAAAAACAACTTGAGTCTAACTCAAAGTCTAATTGGATTCCAATTTAGTCTTAATTTCAATCTGTAAGTTGATTTTGGTTCAAGTCTAACTGACCTTCAATTCTAAATTAGTTCTACTGTAAATGTCATTGTATGTTAATTTTCATTGAAATCGTTTTCTATATCAACTTTTGTTTAATTGTAACCGAGCTGTGGGCTAAACAATTCTAAGTCAATTCTACTTCAATTCTAATTTCACTGATAAAAATTTGCTTCAATTGTATTTGACGAATGTATTTGTAAAAGCATACTCAAGTTGACCTTCAAAATCATTTCAAAAGTGTCTATTTTGCATGATCAAAACCAATTCAGAAAACAGCCAGCAGAAGCATAGCCAGGATCCCATTTTCCAGCAGTTGGCTTCAAGGTTGAGGCTGTCTCTTCTTGGTTGGCAGCATCTCCTGATGCCTTTTGCACCTTCTCCAAAGTGAGTTTCCCTAGTTTGTTCAAATTTCTTTTCTTCAACATGCTTGCTTTTATGTTTTTGATTGAACCACTTCCTTTCCCTTTTGCCATGCTATTTGTTCACTTTCCCTTTTGCCAGGGGAATGTTTCAGATTTTCTCTTTTTTTCAACGAATTGCCAAAACATCACGCAATAAAACCTACAAAGAAGGATTTCAACCCCTTGCTGAAAAACACCTTGCAGAAAGGGTAATTGAAGCCCATAGAAAAGGAAAGAGGAAGAGGAAAAGGAAAGTTATAGATCCACCCTCGTTTCGCTCACGTGCCATGGCACTTGTGCACATGTCCAGCACCCTCGTTTCGCTCACGTGCCATGGCACTTGTGCACATGTCCAGCCTCCAGTTCCGCCACATGCTCCGGCTCGGATTCCCCTCCTCTTCCTGCAAATCGATTGCAGTCTGCAGCCATTCAGGCAACTCTGGAAACGGGCCTGGATCAGGCATCGTCTCCTCCTTTGCCGGCTGCAGCAAAGAGTTTGCGGAAGTGGTTCTGCTCGAATTGCGCATAGCCACGCATGGTCACCATCAGCTCCGTGCAGGTGATGACGCCCTGCAGCGGAGCGTGGTGAGTGGAAGGCGCGGAGCATGGACCAAGGGACCAGGATCGGATGCGGCGAAGCCGTGCGGTTCAACATGTGTTGCAGCTCCCGGACATGTTGCTGCACGATCTGAAGCTCCAAGTCCCTTCGCTGCAACCTCAGTGAAGGATGGTGAAGACCGTGGTGAAGACCGTGGTGAAGACCACGGTCTTCAGGGCCCAAAGTTCACAAACCTACCGGACCCTATGCAGAGGAAAGAAGCGCTTGACTCACGCATGAAACATCCCTAGCTATGGGGAGAGAACACTCTGCTTCTTCTGCCACTCTTAGCTGCTGGCTCGATCCGAAGGACACTCAGTTGATTTGAAGGACAGGTTGATGTCACTTGGTTATTGTCGCAAAGTGATGGAACTCTCCGTCTCCAACCCAGGCCAATCTATGACTTCCTGTTTAGCAGGTTGCCTCATGTGAGACAACCGCCCAAAGCACTTTAGAACATGAATATATGCATTTTATAGCTATATTGACGAAGCCGACGAAGCTTGATCCCACAAACCTCCACAAGGATTCGTGAGGCACTTCACAAGCCCCCCCTTTGCTGCAAGCTTCCCCTTCCCCGCGATTCGAGTGGATCTTTTGGAACTGGAAAAACACCACATGCCATAGGAAAAGGAAAAACAAGCAAACAAACGAAAGGGAAACGAAAAAGGAAAGAAGGAAAAGGAAAACCAATCAGAAAAAAGGAAGAAAAGAAAAGGAAGAGGAAAAGGAAGAGGAAAAGGAAAAGGAGCAGGAAAAGGCAAATGAAGAGGAAAAGGAACAGGAAAAAAAACAAGGAAAAGGAAACGGAAAAAGGAAGAGGAAGAGGAAGAGGAAGAAAGACAAGGAAAAGGAAAAAAGGAAGAGGAATCGAACAAGAAAAGGAAGAGAGAGAGGAAAAGGACATGGAACCTGTTTTTGGGGGAGAAGAAAGTAAGGAAACACAATCTAATGACTAAAACTGTGGGCAAAAATTTTTGGTGAGGAGAGTTCAGGAAGCAAAAATCAATTACTAAAACTGTGGGCAACAAAATGGATGAGAGAAAGGAAACAAAATCTAATGACTAAAGCTGTGGACAACAAAACTTTATCCACAGTTTTAGTAATTAGATTTTGTTTCTTGAGCTCTCCCCACCAAAAACCGCTGCCCACAGTTTTATTCAGTGGATGTTGTTTCCTTGTTTTCATTCACCCCAAAAAGTTTTGGCAACAGTTTTAATCTTAGATATTGTTTCCTCAACTCTCCTGACCAATTTTGTGTCCGCTTCCTGAACTCTCCTCACCAATTTTCCCAGTTTTATTCATTAGATGTTGTTTCCTTACTTTCATTCACCCCAGAGTTTTGGCCACAGTTTTAGTCATTAGAATTTGTTTCCTCAACTCTCCTCACCAAAAGTTTGTCCACAGTTTTAATCATTAGATGTTGTTTCCTCAACTCTCCTCACCAAAAGTTTTTGCCCACACTTGGAGGATTTTGTCCAGGTTTAACTCTAAATGCATCAAAACATTTCAAACATATGCAAAAATATGAAAATTCCATCAAAAATGATATGTACTTTGTGTGTACTTTATATGTAGTTTTCAAAACTACATACAAACTACATATGGCGATATGTAGTTTGTAAATAGTTTTGGGAAACTACATACGAACTACATAGAAAGTACATACAAACTACATACAAAGTACATACTGTATCCTTTGAGTTTCATTATGATTTCATTAAAAAAGAAGATTTATTTTTGCAAGTTTTTTTTCATGAAGCCTGTGGGCCCACATCTGGACCAAACCCTCCAAGACATGATTAAGTTTTGCAATCAACTGCAAGTCAAGCATTGTTGTCAGGCATGATCCATACAATGTGATGGTCTTTTCATATCTCCTTGGTAGCTGTTTGGAATATAGTCGATAGACCTGACAGATATTTTATTTAAATATGTGTACAGTATATATTTTGTGAGAGTCAGTTGAGACCTATGCTGTGATTTGAGAGTGAGAGTGAGAGAGTGAGAGTGAGCACGCCTGCCACGAAGTCTGCACTTCGAGGTTCACAAAGTACTGCGCCTGCCACGAAATCTGCATTCGAGGTTCACCGAGTGCTGCGCATGCCACGAAATCTGCACTTCGAGGTTCACCAAATGATGCACCTGCCACGAAATCTGCACATCGAGGGTCACAGAGTGGTGTGCCTGCCACGAAGTCTGCACAAGAGCCACATGTTGAAAAGTCACAATTCACTGCACCTGTCACGAAATCTGAGCTCCTCGACGATCACCACCCCTCAGGCGTTACTTGCTGGGATTTTTTTTGGGGCTTTCTTTCCAGCCCCTGTCTGCTGAGCTTTGCTTGCGGCAGGCTTCTTCTTGGGGGGGGCTTTCTGTCTTCTTGAAGAAGCAGGCCCTTTCCCAGCTTTGAATGTCTCCTCGTCCGCCCTGGGGTCGCAAAAACAAAGTGCAACGTCGCAGGCGTACAGATTGCTGAAAAACGTGCAGAAAAACAGAACAAGTAGGACACTATGAGGATGCCTGGCCCAGGCTTCGATACCCAGTGCTTTCTTTAAGTCCTCCCAGTCTGGAATCACATGGAATCACTGTGACCTACACGGTGCGCTGGCAATGAAACTTCCAATCCACGCAGCCACTCTTCGGTGACATTGTCCTCTCAAGGTATACTAGATACAGTGAGGGAGCGATAGCTTACTCACCTCAAATACAAAGTCAAAGACAATGTATATCGGCTGGAGACTGTATCGTTCACCGGCGAAGATACCAGTACCGGCGCTCAATAGCCCTTAAATAGCCAGAGCTGTCAATCCTTCAGAAAATTCTAAATTCAAAAGGAAAGCGGCTTCTTTTGCACAGAGACCTATAAAACTCCCCAATATTCAGAAGCTCACAGCGGCAGGCGCCATCGTAGGCAGTGCGGCTCCATGTCTTCGACCAGGCGGTGCGTGGTCGATTGTTGGTGAACGCCATGGGAACACCCGGAGTAGGTCACCCACCGGTCGAGTCAGACACTACTATCCTGGGGCGCCAAACCACCAGGCTGAGGCTCTGGGCGGCGTGCGTGCGCAAAGTTTACCGAGGCCCTGTTCAGGCGCAAACATGGGGGCTGCATGAAATGAAGCATTCTGCACGTAATGCTTGAGTTCAGTTCAGTTCTTTTTCGGGGTCATTAAGGCTAGAAGGATATATCGCGCGCGCTGCCTTATAGATTCTCATAGTTTTAAGCAACGGTCTGCACTGGGTCCATCTCGCCTCTGTCATTGAGCGAGCAACTTGTCATTGATAATTACGGGGTGCAGGGGCGCTCTGAATCACTTCCTCCAAAGTGCTGTGCCTGCCACGAAAACTGTACTTCGAAGTAAAACAGCTCCGATCCCATGCACCTGTCACGAAAAGTCGACTTTGGAGCACCAAAGCACGAGGTTTCCCTTGCGCCTGCCACGAAAAGTGATCACCATGTGCGAGAATGCGCACGGCACGACAACGAGAGCGCAGTCGTTAGAAGCACCCGCCGCTGGCCCCCAGATTCTGCGAGCCTGCGCAGTCGAAATGCACATTGATGATGTCGAGAGGCATGAATGTACTGTAAATAGCAACAAATTAGCCGGACACGGCCGCGCGGCACACCTATCTAGGCACACCTGCTTTTCCACTACCGTGAGAACCCCTCAGTGTGCTCACACTGTTTGGTGAAAAATGAGGTCCGACAAGTGTAAGAATGGTTGTTTTGACATGTTTGTCGTTTTTGTTGCTTATGAAAGCATGCTCCAGTGGGCGGCCAAATTTGGGGCACGTTTGTGCCAATCTTCGGCTGGGACATATCCTTTTCCATATTGGCACATTTCACCCAATGCTGGGGCTCTCTTGAGCCTTCTCGTGGAGGTATGTTGGAAGTGACTGGGGCCGTGGGGTCTAGATCAGGCCTATGTTGAAGGCTTTGCTGCTGTGATGTTACTTGCTTTGTGGCCATGTTGGTCCACTTGGCTGCTTTTTCTCTGCCGCTTGACTTGGGCAGGTGCTCTTTTGTGTAGTGCGTGCACAACACCGCAAAAAAATAGAAAATTCGACAAGTGTAAGAAAGGTGGTTTTGCAATTTTTTGTTGGTACTTTGGTGTTTTCCAGGGGGTCGGATGTACGCCCCGGCTGGCCGGGGCTGCTGGGTCTCCGCCGCTGTGCCGCTGTGATTTGCG